CAGAAATGGGAATTTAAACCATCAAACAGCAAACATGTTTTTTTTTTCACCTATCCAACCATGGTGATTTTCACGGGATTTGGCCATCAGAAATCTGGATTTCAGCAGCCTTCATGGTGTCAACTTGGGCTGCCATGGGTTTACCAAGCCTATGCCATTGCTTCAAGAAAAAACACCTCCTGAAGTGGCCGCACAATCAGGAGTGCCTCCAATCCCCGAGTATTCAAACGAAACTTAAAGTGATTAAACAATACCTTCTGGTAGTTTAACATAGCCATGTAAAGTCATGATGGCCATGGTCAATAGGTAAAACATCTACATGGATGGGGCTCTTACGGTAGTAGATGAGTAATAATCACAAGAAACCTCAGTCATAAGAAGTATCCCCAGCTATATGTATATGTATAATTATATATATGATTTTATATGGCTTATATCTAGTTTGTAAATGTTTGTAAACCACTTAGAAATTGGGATGCGCTTGCGACGCGTCGCAGCCGTGATCCTCCATGGGGTGATCCCCCATGTAACCCAGTTTACTGAACCCCCAGTGGATGTGGATTGAGGTATCGAAAAAGGGGGCCTCACCTTTTTATAGTTTGGTATCTATCGTTACATCACTTGTTTTTTGGGAGTGTGAAAAAAAACAAAGAAGATATGGCTTAATATTAAATAATAACCAACTTAAACATACCATCGGGTGATCAAACATAGCAATTGAACATCCATCATGTAGTTCCATGCTTTTCCCAGCGAACGAAACATCCATGGCTACTTCGGGGATTCTCCAGCCACGTTACAATCAGAGGGTATTAGCTATTAATCCCTCTTAGTCACCATGAATCAACATCAATCAATCAACATTAGTCAACATCACTAACCTGTAAAAAAACCATCCGGATCCTGACTCTGGCGTCCTTCGCGTCGCGGTGCGCAACGCAAGGTGAAACTCTTCGTCGAAGAGCCCACCTCACACCAAGCAATGGCTCCAGTCTTCAGCCCCAGAAAGCAGCTGCCGCCCACGGTGCGACGCTATTCCAAGAGGCTCTGGTGGCGTCGATGGTGGAATGGCGACATGGGAAGAAGATATGGTGATTTTAGAATTAGGGATTTGCACATGAATCATGGAAGTGGGTTGAAAAAATGACACCTTGACCCCATAAGATGTTCAAAATAGCAATTTTCATAGGTAAACTCATGATCAAATCATCCACCTATGACAACTCCCTGCGGAAGATCAGGAGGATTGTGAGTCCATCTGAGCTTGAACAAGGTGAGGCCCCTCTCAATGCCTAGATGAGTTCTTGGGGGCCTCGAAATCGACATTTCTCAGCTCTGAAATTTGGACATCCCTTTGTGTATGTAATATGTAAACGTATATGTAAACGTATATGTATATGTATATGTCTATGTATATGTACATAATTACATGATTATATAGTTAACCCCAGAAGACAATGCACCATTATTTTACGGCTTATTTTAAGGCAGATGTGAGCTGTCCATCTTTTTCTTGGATTGCAGTGATGAGAAGAAGCAAAAATAACGATAGAAATAGAATCAAACACTAGTGACAAGGGTAATGATAATCATGACGAATCATATCTGGTGGGTGGTTTGGAACTCTTTTTATTTTTCCATATTTTCCATATATTGGGAATTTCATCATCCCAACTGACTTGCGCTCACTCCATGATTTTTCAGAGGGGTAGGTAGCCCCCACCAACCAACCAGCAATCAATTAATCAATGATTAACCATCATTAACCACTATTAACCATGGGGTAGGTAGCCCCCACCAACCAGTAATCTTTGATAAGTAAATGTCTATAGTAAAAAAAGGACGCTCTGGTCATCCAGCATCGCTGGAGAATTTCCCACTTCGATGGGAATCCCATCGAACTGTGGGAACTGTGGGTTTTTCCAGCTATGGATTTCCGGAAGGGAAATCCATCCATATTCTATGAGATATTTTCCCAGGATCCCTACTAGACCATAGAACACCATGTGAAAGAACAACACGAAACCTGCATTTTCTCGTATCCAGTAGAGTTTTTTTCATACTCTCTGGTATTTTAAGAGTTCTCCTTGGACAATCACCATTTTAAGAAAGGAAAATCATCGAACTAAATGGGCCTTGGCTTCCACACACACATATATATAGGTATGTTAAATTACCAGAGGGCATATCTCACAAAAATTATATGTACATAAAATACCATAGAACTACCATTAAATCGGCCATGTCAAACTACCGGAGGCTGACTGGACTCGGGGCGCCACAACAGTTCGTGAGGTCTGGTGCTCCCAGCGTTGCTATGCCTGTCGTCTCAAGACCAAGCGGCTGAAGTGCGATGATTTCGATGAATTGGGGGTTTCCAGAAATGGGAAAACCCCAATAGCTGGAAATCCATCGACAAAATGGATGATTTGGGCGTACACCCTCGGAAACCTCCAATTGCTTGAGTAAAAAAAAGGCTGAGTTCAACTTCAGTTCAACAAAAAGTGTCTGAGTTGAAGTTCATAGTTTAAGCTTCTCCCATGAATTTACCTACTGTACATACATCACCCTTGACCTCATCGAGGCTTGAATTTCCAGTCTCAGGGGTGCTCCATCCTATAGTGATATTCACTAAGGTGGGGGATTTTCCAGTTGACTCCTTGATTCATCAACCCCCCCTTGATCCTGGGCTAGTTGGAGTGTTGTTGGACTATGTTGAACTCAGATTTTTTGCGGTGATTTTTGTCTCCATTTTGGTCACGTGGGTTGTGCTGTGTGCAGAAACTCTATACCTCTGGTCCTGACCCGGGGAAAGCCACGTGCCGCACCGTTCGGTGTGTTCGGTGTGTTCGGTTGTGTTCGGTGGTTGGGACTTTGCCTGGTTGGTTGCTTCTTAGCCAACTCTTGTGTTGTTGCTACACAAAAAGGGATCATGTGAAATGGGTTGATTGTGGCCAAACCATCACATTTTTTTTTGTAGGAATTGGAACCACCGACCAGCCGTTTCCATTTTAAGTTTTTTTATTTGGCACGGGATGGGGTTGGCTCTTGGGTGAAATATGTCCCACTTGAAGTCCCACTTGGGGCGGCACCCTGCCAAAAAATGTATAGCTTTAGTGATGTGTTTCCCTGGCTCCCCACGGCTTCCCAGACTCAAATGTGTGTTTGGTGCATCCGAAACAACAATTCGAATTGGACCCTGAGAATTTTTCCATAACTTGATCTGATCCATTGCTATGTCAGTTGTGTGCATAGGACCGGTAGGACGTGTTGTGGGGCCCCAGACCGATCGACTTCTCACCCGAATCTCCGGTTGAAACGCCCCGCCTCGGCAAAGCCCTGGTGTCTGGGCCTCTTATCGACCTGCGTCGCCGGTAAGGTGTGGCAAGTCAACCAAAAATGCGCGCGCAGAGCGCGCAGAGCGTTGATTCGTTGATGGAAAAGTCATTGCAATGGCACATGAGTTGAAGTCACAGTTAGAATATACCCAAAAAGATGGAACAATGAACAGTTTGCCACTATTTTCATGGGAAATTTCACTTTTCGGCATCTTTTTGGGGTGTGTTGAAAAATGGCATCTGGTAATGAAAGATGATTGGAACTACCAAGCTGTTAGTTCCAACTCATGGAATCATGGAAAGTATGATTAGTTGCCGGGCCAAGGAATGATGACCATACCTGCTGGCTGTTTAGTTGGGGGGTACCATTCCTTTTTTCGCATCAGCATTTGGACATGGTCACTATTTCGGGGACCCCCAAAAAGTAAGCCAGGGATTCGTGCCCTGACGAGCTCTCCTGGCTTGTGGCTCTTTGATCAACACATAGGCCGTCAACAAACAGCCTAATGTCAACCCCGGATTTTGCTAAAGCATGGTTTATGAATTAGGGGGTACTCCTCCAATAGTCATAATTAATCTAATACTTAGTCATGGTAGCCTCCCAATGAAACAGCCGTTTTTACGGGGTTGATCAAATCATGGGGTCACCAGTGGCCCCACAATGAGTCAGGAAGTGAAAATTCCTCGCCGGTCGACATTAGAGAGGCCTCTGGTAAACATACAAAAAGCTATTGAAAATGGTGATTTATAGTGGATTTAGCCATTACAAATGGTGATTTTCCATAGTTACGTTAGTTTACCAGAGCCCAGACCAAGACTTTATCATTTTTGTCCCCCTTGAATTTTGGGTGAGCTGTACAAATTGAGAATGAATGCTCCCCGGCAATCAAACGTGGCTTGCTGGAACATCACTCATTTATTTTTCATATTTTGTTCCCTGTTAAAACCTCCATGTATAATTTTTCTTTTCCATTAAACCACAAATTTATAATTAAAACCTCCATTTATTGGGGATATAGATTATAAATGGATTTATGATATTATAGATATAAAACCCTGATAAATGATATAAAATGGAGGTCATTTCCTTGCGTTAGACCTCCATTTCTTGGGGATTTCCCAGCTTGGTGACCGAGGAAGCTGCAGAATTTTCCGGCCGTGGCCGCCTTATTGGCGTGTGCGGTGGTGGGGGTGCTCAAGGGGGTCCAGCCAGACGATCATCCTTTGGAATAGCAATGTTTGTAGGTTATACAATTATATATATATACACAGATATTTCTATATGCACATACACATACACATACACATGCATATACATATACATACGTACATACATACATACCTACATACCTACCTACCTACGTGTACGTACGTACGTACGTACGTACGTACGTACGTACGTACGTACGTACGTACATACATACACACACATACATACAAATTTGTATATATATATATACATATGTACATACATATATATATATATACATATATATATACACATATGTATATATATATATATTCTATATGTATCAGATCCCTTCGACGACTAATATTAACCCCTGAAGTATGTTTGGACTATTATTTTACTGCTGGTGGCGGGGCAAGTTGTTCGCTTTCTGATTTCTTCTTGTTGTTCGTGCTGCGGCCTGCATTATTCAGCGTTTGATGTCCACATTTGGACACCTCGAATTTGAGGGCTGGAAACAGATAAATCTGGATTGCATGATCCATTTTTTTTCTTGGGGCTTCCAGTTCGATCATGTTGATCTTTTTTGGATTTCAGGGGATGCATTTGCAGCAGCACAGACGTAAGAAATTTGGACCCAAAAAGCCCGGCGTCACGAGTCGCGTCACGTTCGATCGTGTTTTTTGGCATTTTTATTGATGGGGATTCAGCCAAATGGTAGTGGGATACCATGGGATATAATGGGGATCGAATCTGGATGATTTATGGTGATTGATGGATTTATGGTGATTTATGGTGATGATTTATGGGATACTACCTCGAAAGTCCTTTTCCGTCCCTCGAATGATGGATTTTTGGAGGGAATCATTTTTATAGCTGGCCGTAAGTCTCAGAGATTTTTCATCTTGGTGAATCATGATAAGTCAACCAGATTTGGTGACGCTTGGACCTTTGTTTCTTCTTTTCCAGCTTGATGTCGTTTGCGTTTTTTTTTTCTTCCTTTTTTTCTCAGAAATCATTGAAGGGAACATCTACAGGAAAAACCAGTATTTGGCAGGCAAAATCCATGGTTTCATTCCTTTACATAAACCGATCAACGAACTCACGAATTCAACATCGGAGGAACTTTCAATAAGCGCTTCCGGGCCCGAAAAATCACCCCTGCTAAGATGCTAAGCCGGGCCCGTGTGTCAACTCATGCAGTGTGCGAATTTTCCAAAGGATGATCCGATGTGAAGTTCCCACATTTTGAGCCGCGGCCAATTTCTAGCCCTGTTGGTTGATATTGGCCGAGGCTTTTACTAACAACATCATCCAACAGGGCTAGAAATTCAACCCTAGCTTTTACTTTTACTAAGTGTCTTGGCGATTTTTGCATCAACTGGGAATCCTGTTGAAAAATGCACCCAGAATGGAATGACGCCTAGCCACGGCTTTGTTTCAGCTGCTCAGTCGTGGCTGCGTGTCACCCTTGCAGCATGTTTTGGGTAAGTGGGATCGTAGCTATACACTGAATATCACATATATAATATAATATATATCATAATATATATATATATATATGTACAATATATATATATATATAGGAGGATTGGTGATGTCATGGCAGTGGTATCCTGAGATATCCAGGCACACGTGCTGGTTGATTTGGCCTTTTTTCCCCCTTTCTTTCATCATCGAGCCGACCTCCAAAATGGTCGTTTCATAGTTCTGGCGATTCTCGCATTGATATCTTTAGATTCCATTTTTTTTGCTTATCAACGATATTTCGAGCTACAGAAGTTAAGATTTCAATCCATTACTTCGATTGTTTAGTAATCTCTTCGAATAGAATTCTATTACCCTGTGTTCTAGTGATATTTTGATATGTATTCTATATATATATATATTATATGTAAAGATTTTGATTGTCTCAGTGTTCTAGTGATATTTTACCATAGACACAAGGTGTTATTTCCAGGAGATCTCCAAAAGAAATTCGGAGCTCTAAGGAGCCAAAGGGGCTCCATGAAGCCGTAGAAGAGGCCGTGCCGGCCACGGGACACCGATTCATTTTGTGTGTCCATATCTATGTTGAACTGCAGGGTATCCCACAATGTCACAACTGGGATGGTTGGCAAAGATGGCTGTTTTTTTAAAAACATTTTTGGCGGTGTTAGTTATTTCAGCTTATAGCAACTTTTTAATGATTAGTTAACTAATGTTAACTAACCATTCCAACTCTTTAATCAGCAACTGTGTAGATATTTTTAGTGCCAAAGTTGGAGATTGCCAGTGACCACAAAGTTGGAGATTGCAACGATTTGGGATGGTTGGGCAATGGTTTTCTTCCTGGCAGAGGAGCAGGGAAAGTCTGTAGAAATTGGGATGACAAAACCAGCGGAAGGTTGAGCTTCAAATCCTCTCGGGACGACGGGTTGACGAATTGATCGATTTCTTTGGGAGGCAAAGAACCCACATGTTCCACCTTGGTTTTACCCATTGAACTAGGGATCAAAAGTAATCTGGTAAATGCTAAACTGCTTGGTGGTGACTGGAACCATGGAATTTTATGACTTTCCATATTCATTGGGAATTTCATCATCCCAACTGACTTTCACTCCATGATTTTTCAGAGGGGTAGGTCAACCACCAACCAGTAAAGTTCAGGGAGATGGCCAATAAGGGCGATCTCCAGCCGCGTTTTTCGCCATGTGATCGCGCTGCGACTGGCTCGAGCTGCGCCCCGGGCGAAACGAGCTGCGCGCCGTGGTCGACGTTGGCTGCTTAGCTGGGACGTCAAGGGACGTTGGCTGCGACGTGGATGGGGATTTTTGATACACATCAAGTGGTGCCCCATGGTTAGCTATTTCGGTTTAAAGAACTCCAAGAACTCTATTGGGTAAAAATGGTTGATAGATCTAGAGTGAATGGGGGGATAAACCAACGAAAACCCTAAGGGTCACCACCGACTGTACTGTATCTTTTGCCATACTCGCTAGACATGTATTCAGGTTTTTGCAGGCTATCCACTTATGGTCATGATCAGGGTATGGTTCAATCCAAATAGCCTCAACCATAACTCAACCAACGGTCAGTTTGGGGATGCCAAGATTCATGAAAGGATGACAGCACGCACATACATGTACAGTATATCATATTAGTCCGTATATAGAATATCGATCCATACAAATCAGAGAAAAATATGCGATCTGAATTGTTGATTCAACACAGGATCCATTATAACAAATTATTCATATGTTCACTATTTTTGTTATGATTATTGTTGTTATTACTACTACTATTCTTATTCTATATCATTAAACAATTTGGTGAATGCTGGTAATATTCTTTATCATTACTAGTGATCCCATGATGATATTGTTAATACAATAATATCATAACATTATCTGTAGTTATGATAGGATTCATTATTGTTATCATCATTGTTATCATGATCAGTGTGATGCTCACCAATCTTATTTATCATCATTATTGTTATCATCATTCTTATTTATTATCATATTTATTCTCATCATGATTATTCTCATCATTATCATCATTATTGTCCTCATGATTATCATTATATATTTATCATCATGAAAAAAACATGTTTATATCAACTATCATTTTTTCAAGGAAAAACATTCTCATATGATCATGAAAACCTAAGGTAACCCTCTGGTAATTTAACATAGCCATGGAAAAATCCACCATTTTTAATTACGGTAAACCATCTATTTCTATGGGCCATGGCTTAACCATGGCGAACCGTTAGTCATAACCAGGCCGGGTAACCCATATTTCTCACCATTTTTCTGGCTTTTTCCCATGGCGCCAATGGCCAGGGCCATGGGCGCCTGTGAGTCTTTCCTCTATGGGAAGGAGCCGGAGACGGTGAATGGTGCGCCCCATGGCCGCAGCCCTCCGGCGCCTCCGGGGGATTCGGGGAACCTCCGGGGGGACCTCCGGGGACCTTTCAGATCAAGCCAGCTGGGGAATGATACCAGGCCTGGTAAACATACAAAAAGCTATTGAAAATGGCCATTTATAGTGAGTTTTCCCATGAAACATGGTGATTTTCCATAGTTATGTAAATGTTTACCAGAGGGTAAAGTGGTGTATCATTGTTCTTAGATGGGAAACTGGTGCACTAACAGTTTGCGATGCACTGGTAAGATGGAATATGTCAGAAATGTTTTTACATCTGGTAAAGGTTTACAGTTTGCGAAGTGGAAAGATCCACCATTTTCAAGCTGGGGATTTTTTTAACTATTTCGACTGGGCCATTTTCAATAGCGAACTGTAAACGTTTACCAGAGGGTAAATGTACCAACAAGCAAAGGTTTTTGGTTGAGCCATGCACTTACTGGTGCGTTTTACGTAGGGTTGCTGGATGGGTTGCTGGGGGTTGCTGGGATGATGACATTACTAGTGATGAAATGGATCATTCCCGAAAATTCCCTACGTTTAGCACCAGTAAGTTGAAGATTTTGAGGTGACTTTCTCTTTTTTTCATCTGGCAAGGGAAAATCACCGATGTGAGTCTTAGATGATCTACAGATCCGTATCAATGGGAGATTTTTCAGCGATCCAGGGGGACGAGTGACTGCTTTTCAGAATGTTGGTGGCGATCACCCAGCGCGTGACACCACGTTGTTTTTTTTTTTTGTGAACTGAAGGGTAATGAACAGCAAACATGTGGGGTTACTTGAAGGGAACATCTTAACCGGAAATGGATATTCAGCTCAAATCTGGGTTTCCTGTAGTTATTCCCGTGAACAATTCCTGAGAATGGCGACTTAAGTTGCAAGAATATGCATGCAAAAGTGGATAGGGATTTGACTTTGACTTAAAATTCTGGATGTTTTTCTCCACCTTTTTTTGGGATGTCATTTTTGTTTGTTTTAAACTCCGCATGGGGATGGAAGATTTTTGTTTGACCCAGCTTTTTGGGGCTGTGGAATGGCTGTGGAGTTTTTGCTGGCGATCTGAGGAATGGTCAAATTACCAAGGGGATGAGAGTGAAGCTCAGCTGCACAAACGATGCGTTTAAAAGGGCCGCCGAAAGTGTAGATAAAGATCTAATAGATTACGATTTATTACTGTATTACTGTATACTGTATATATAGGTATATAAGATGTACATAGAGAGAATACTAATATTAATATATATATATATTAACTATATATATTAACTATATATATATATACACATACATATGAAGGGTCCCTTCAGCTACCACTGTGGTTTTGTGGATTGCCCTTGGTTTTTTTCCACTGGGTGACCTTGACATGGGATGGTTTTCATGTACAAGTGATCTTGTTATCAGAACTGTTATTGTACCCTCCGGTAAACTAACATAACTATGGAAAACCACCATTTTCAATGGGAAAATCCACTATAAATGGCCATTTTCAATAGCTATGTTAAATTACCAGAGGGTACATCAACATTGTTGAAACAAAAAATGTACAATTGTTGAAATAGCATGTACAATTGTTATATAGCATGTACCTATCATTGTTGAAATATCAATGTTAAAAAAACCGTGAACCAAGATCATTTCACTCATAATTTTTCTGCGTCAAACAAGAATTTGACACGCACACACACACACACTGACATATCCTTTTTATCGGTTGCGCGCGAATAAACACCCATCCCCTGGACAGTTCAAAGATCCGTTTCTTGTCACCCAACAATCAACAAAAGGCATCCAAAATTCGGAGCAGTAACCCAGTTTGAGATCTCCAAGACTTATAAGATCTCCAAGTTCTCATGGTTGAGAAATCCCCAGCATTTCTGGTCAGATCTCTGAGGCAGACGCAGTACACCATTGCAGAGGGTGGTGATGGCCGTTGGTATATGGGAAAGGTCACAAGGCAGTGGGTGATTCCAGTGAGGCCTCGAAATCTGTGGTGAATTTTTCGTCTGGTGATTTTTTTTGGATCGGATTATCCCACGACTTGGATCTGTGGTCAACAACCATAGTGAGCAATCCATTTATAGATTGGAGCCAGGGATGAACATGATCACCACTAAAGGAGATAGAGTTGATGAACGACGGTCACATTTTGAGGCTGTAAAAAATCATCCAATATCTCAGGGATTCTCATCCGTGAGCCGGGAACCCCTAAAATGAAGGCAATCGAAAATCCTCTACAAATGGAGGTTTTAGTGGGACATCATGTATACATGAGGGGTTTCCCACTGCTATCTTTGATTAGCGGAAGGTTTTTCTGAGATGAAGATAAACAAAATGAACATATTTCCTAATCTTTTTCTCAGTCAAATGTAGAGCTACCGTAATATCTACCAGTCATATTTTCTGATGGGTCTTGTGACCATTGTGGCCACAAATTGGGTTGTCCCTCCAACTACATTAAATTACCATAGACATGAACATCCACAGTTTCCCCTTTTAAATGATCTACTATAGATGTTGGTTTTTCCATGATTTTCCATGTCTATGTTCATTTGCTGGATGAAAAATCTCAACATTTGAACGTTATCGACAGCTTGTGGAAGGCTGTATGGCAACAATCGCTGTCGAATCTACTATGATGATGGCCAGAAGCTTAGAAAGCTTAGACTGTGGAGGATTGCGAAGCGGAGCTTGATGCGGAGCTTGATGATCATAGGATAACATTTTTAGATCCTATGATTATCAAGCTGTTTAAACATAGGGTTAAACATAGGATTAAACCATGACATGGTCTACCCCGCTGTTTTTCCATTATCATCCAGCATTCGTAGATCATGGGGATTTCGCAAATCAGACATTCAGTGGATGGCTACCCTCTGGTTATGACTAAGGGTTCGCCATGGAAAATAGCCATGGCCCATAGAAAGTTCGATGGTTTACCGTTCTTAATAGCATGGTGGATCTTTCCAGTTCGCTATGTTAGTCATAACCAGATGGTATATTCCCTTAATCATCATTAAATAAATTAGTCATCCATTAATCACCATTATTAACCAATATTAACCAATATTAACCACTATTAACCATGGTTACAAGTAGGTATCTACTCTATCCCATAAATAGCGCACAGAGATCCCGGGATGGCGACCACGTCAGAATCGTCCGAGCTCATGCCATCACTGATCGTGGCAGGGTGCCCAGTGAAAATAGCTATTGAAAATGGTCAGTTATAGTGGATTTTCCCATTAAAAATGGTGGATCTTTCCATAGTTATGTTAGTTCACCGGAGGGTACAATCCCCCAGGCTCAAAGTTCGTGGACTTGTGGTGACCGACTTAGTGACCTAGAACTGGAGACCCACCCTGAACCAGCCTGGAAGCCAACGGAGGTGACACCTGGACTGGCAATGCCATGGAGGTCTATTCGATGCAGGGTCCACCACCCTCTGCCAGTGCTGGAGTGACGAGTCTAACTGACGAGCGGCTGACTCTTTTTTTTTTGGGGACCCAACAAACCCATAACCCATATCTTCATCCTACTCTCCCAGGAGATTCCTGCTGTCTTTTTTTCGATTATTTTTTGAAAGATGATTGTTTCTTGTCAGAATTTGGATTCAAGAACGGCAGATTTGCGGGACACATATAAAAGAATGTCAATGGCTTGCGCCTGGATTTTCATGAACCCCAAGTTCGTCTGTTTTTTTTCGGAAAGATATCAAGTAGCAAATCATCACTTTTTCGGTGTAACCGTTTCTTTTTTTCATCAGCCAGGGTCGATTGATCCGTTTTTTTTTTTTCATGGCCTTTGATGGATCTTCCAGGCGTGTTGAGGATGTTAAAAACCCAATTTCTGGTGGATTGATCATCTAAATTTCTGGTGACTTGCAAATAGCAGTAATTTACACAACTCTATATGATATATATATATGGAGTAGTTCAGTTTTCCGAAAACTTAGGAGTCGCGAAAAACAATCTGATTTCGAAAGAGATATATTTTTGTCACGTCCTACCAGTACTGAGGCTCCTGGTATGCCACCAGTTGGAGGCGTTCCAATGGGTATGCCAATGGGTGCTCCTGTGGTGCAAGGTCGGGGTGCGACGTCGTCTCAGTCGTTTGGTAAGATGATCTATCCGGGAATTTCATGGTGATTTCATGGTGATTTAATGGTGGCCTTATATTTTTTTTGATAGGTTTTATGGGGATTTATAGGATTTGATTGTGATTGTGAATGGGATACCCTCTGGTAATTATTCACGTAGCTATATACATGGAAACAATGGCCCATTTATAGATGATTTACTTCCTAAAACTGGTGATATAAACACAGCATCCCTTCCCTTTGACATTTAAATACACCCGATATGGTCTCCCAAAATGAATAGATCCACGAGATACTAAACCAGGATTTAAAGGGGGTATGTTTCATATTCGGTTTTTTCGGGATTCCTGTGTGGATGGTTTGAATTTTCCTCAGACCCCCTACTTGGGATACCCCCTGGTAAACTAACATAACTATGGAAAATCACAATTTTCAATGGGTAAATCCACTATACATGGTCATTTTCAATAGATATCTTAGTTTTATCAGATGGTAAATCCCATTAAATCCCATGAAAAACCCATTAAATCCCATTAAAAACCTATTAAATTACCAGAGGGTAGACATTTTTCTAGGCCATGAATCAGACATGAAACGAGTTGAAACTTCTATAGCATCATTCCAGGAGGCTCCCTAATCAGGTACCACAACTCTCAAAATTCCCATATAAAATTGGCCAGTTCTGACCACAACACCTATATCTAATGTGCGTGTATGTATATATATATACATATATATATATTAATTAATTATACACCTCCAAACATCCAAATGGCTTGGTTGGAAAGAATGTGACCCAGCCCTTTGCGCCCAGCTATGGTGGTGAGTCAGCCGGTGAAGCTACCGTCACTCGATCCGGGAGAGATACGCGAGATACGCTGGCGGGTTAACGGTTAAGTAAAAATGATGGGGGCGAACAGTTGAACCATGAAAAATCTGGGAAATAAGTGAAGATGGGTGGTTTCATGGTGGTTTATCCATGAAAAAGATGTGAACAACTAGTGGTTTAACCGACAAAAGTATGTATTTGATGGGTTTTAACTTTAAACCCTGGTAAGACAACAACACATGTGGTTCAATGGATAAATGGTGGTTGATTGATTTTTAGATGGTGTTATACCACCTGGTTTATTGGGGATGATTACAGTCAATGACAGGAATACTTATCAGAATCAATCACTTTGACCGGATGGGAAAGGTGTATTTTCATGGCTCATATGGCTCGCTGGAATATAAGAAGTTTTCTTTTTTTTTTTTTCGGAGGATTTGGATTCTAAGCTTCTAACCCATTCCTGGAGAGGTATTTCTGTATCCATGGAAGATCTTCTATTGTTGTTTTTCTATCTTTCATATCTGTCTATTTTCTATCCGGTGGATGGGCCAGCGAAATCCTGCAGCAATTTGGGATGGTTGAAAAAAAACCCAACAAAATAATGGGATGTTTACCATCGACTGGTGATTCGGATTTCGCTGGCCCATCCACACAGGATGGGCCCCCCCAGTTATGTTTGTTGGTTTATAAACCATGAAATAATCCCCATGAATACTAGTTCGTTATATCTACATATATCTACCATAAACCATAGAATTCAGCCACTTATAAACCAACTGAACGCTATCGACTGGGGGCCCCATCCTGCAGTATTTAACGGTGATTTTCGATGCTCGAGGCCCATCCCTAGCCCGACGCCTGCAGACAGCAACGAGAACACATGTCCAGTGACCCGGCCACCCTTGGCCATGGTGGCTCATCCTAGTTAGTAAGGTTATAAGCCAATTATAAGTGAATTAAGCCTACTTGTCCCATGAAAAAAACCAGGTTTTTGAGGTTATTTTGACCATTTAAAAAAACTGGGATGTGATTTTCAGCAAGTATGGATGAAATTGGGGATTCCACCAAAAATGGGGCTTTAACCATGGAACTTTCAGAATTTCGGTGAAAAGTCTCGAGATGGCTTAGTCACTAAAGTCCATGGTCAGTCCCGATCTGGCGAGGGTAAGCCACTAGGATTCGCACGACAAGCTCACCTTAAGAAGGATACTTCACAGGGGGAAGGTGTGAATCATTATCGCTTTGCCCAGATGTAATGTATACATACTGTATATATATCTATATATCTATATATCTATATATCTATATATCTATATATCTATATATCTATATATCTATATATCTATATATCTATATATCTATATATCTATATATCTATATATCTATATATCTATATATCTATATATCTATATCTATATATATATATATCTATATATCTATATATATATATCTATATATCTATATATATATCTATATCTATCTATATATATATATAATTATATATCTGTATATACTACCCACAGATGTTACGCCTGGCTCAAAGATTGATCGTGACTACCTGGGCGAGAAAACTAGAGCCAGTCTACCTGACTTTCTGGGCCTTTTTGACCAACAGAAAAAGGGGATTTGTAAACTCACGGAGAGACAGTATCCTCCAGTAATCAAACATGGCATTGAAAATCCACCATCAAACCTCCACTTAGTTCGGGGATTTCCCAGCTAGCCATGTTTGAATACTGGTACAGAAGCTGCAAGCCTATGATGGGTGGTATATTGCCCTCCAGAAAAATACCCGTTGAAAGCGGTAAAAGATGAAAGAGTGGCGTTTCCCAATTGACGATTTTGTTGCATCCCCAATAATGACATCACTGCGACCTCACTGGAATCATGGTTAGTGAGGGGAATCATCCCCAAATGGCCTTACTTCAGGCTAGTGACATGTTATACAGTAATTTACCCAGATATATGCTCTTATCCCTTCTTTTGTTGACAAGGCCCTGCCTTTTTTTGTTGGTTGAATATGATGGCTTTTGCACATTTTTTGCATTACGTATTTCAAAGTGCAGCCAACAAACATCACCCACACGTACGAAGGAGTTGTAGTCATATGTGTTTGCCCGAAAATTCGCCCAAAAATCCAATGGTTTCTCATCAGTTTTCCTCTGTAAATAGCAAGTTTACCAGGGCTAAACTCAGCATTTTCAGACACATCCTTATCCATTATTCACTGGTTTCCATCCTATCATCAATGGCCATTTCCGGAACCTAAATTGGAGGTACCTATCATATATAAGGCCTATTTTTGAGGCCTAAATTTCAGGGAATATCCCCACAAAATATGGCCAGAAATATGATACTAACGTACCTCCATCAATTGGATCCTGGATTTCCGATTGATATCACTCGCTGGCACCTCCGTACCTGAGGTCTGCCAAGTCAACAAGATGGACATGGTCTTGCAGTGCGGGCATCGGCTATGTGGGAACTGTGCCTTTCTCAGCGAGCGGTGTCCGGGTCCAGGTTGGGGTGTGGGGTGTAGGGATGGTCATGTCATCCCACCTTTGTTTGTCTCTGTCTCTAGTGGGTCATCTTCTGTCAACATTTCCCAAAGAAGAACTTAGCCTCGGGTAATTTTCCTAACAGTTTGCGAACTTGAACATGGCCATAGAAATGGTGGATTTTCCCTAACATGGTTGATCTTTTCCATCGTTTTTTTGTTACCAGGCCGGGTAGGCCGGGTATCCAGGAGGGAATCAGAGTCCATCAGGATTCGGTCCGGTGAACTCACGACGGTAGCCTCCGGTCAACAAGAAGGGGGTTAACCAACCATAGGGATTTATCATAGGTATTTTCCGATGATGTGCCCATTAAAAATCATCAAACCTCCATGTATCATCATTTATCATGGTTAAAAAAACATTAAACCTCCATTTATAGGGCTGGGTAAATTATAACGACCTCACTGTTCTCCCGAGCCCTGGAATCATGGTTAGATTGTGGGAGAATCATCCCCAAATGGCCCAACAATTCAGGTTAGTGAAATATTATTTCATTTACCCAGATAGGGATATCATTGGGATGATAATTGGGATATCATTGAGATGACAATTGGGAGATAATTGGGAGACAATGTGAATATACACTGGAAAATCCCGAAAAAAGTGGCAGGTTTATAGCGCTCGGAAAATTTTATCGAAGTGAATGGAGGATTTTCCAGCACGCCATGGCAATGATTCTTAGATTCTTAGATGGCAACTCAGTTCTACTACCCTCTGGTGAACTAACATAGCAATGGAAAATGGCTATTTATAGTGGATTTTCCCATTAAAAATGGTGATTTTCCATTGCTATGTTAGTTCACCAGAGGGTAGCTCGTTAGTTCATTTTTATTTTCCAAACTTTGGTGAATATAGCTATGAAAGGACAACGTCTTTTAGACGTCTCAACGGTTTTTACTGGTTGGTCTACACCCTGGCGTTAGATTCCTATGATACCTAGCATCATGCTTTGCAATCAACTCACATAAGTACCAACCTTTCCGACCCAAAAACCTTGACAGAATGGATTTTCTCAAAGGATCGCTGACTTTTTCCTAGCGTTTCTCCGAGGATTTGGGGCTACCCCCATGACTTGGGACACCTCCATAGGTTGACAGCATTCCATCGGGCCCGATTTTTGGTGGTTTCATCAGTGAAGCAAGTGACATCAACTACCCTCCGGTAAACTAACATAACTATGGAAAGATCCACCATTTTTCATGGGAAAAAAATGCTATAAATAGTGATTTTCCATAGTTATGTTAAATTACCAGAGGGTAGATTCTCATGGACTATTGATATGATACTTAGTTTCGGAGCCATCTAAGATTTCATGGTGCGACATCATGATTCAATGTTGTTGTTCATGAACCATCATGAAACTCTGTGGCTTTTCATTCGAAATCAAACATCAGCCAAGGCACCAAAGACATCGTGGAGAAACGCAACGGTCAGTGCCCTGTGTGCCGTGTGCAGATTACTCAGGTGCGCTCAGATCCTTGGGGTGGTCGACCTTTAGTGCTTGGCCACGAATCGATTCATGGAAGATCCCCCCAGTTTGGGATTTTCCACGTGGGTATATATATATAATATATAATATATATATATAATATAATATATATATAATATAATATATATATATATATTATATATAATATACATATAATATATATATATATATAATATAATATAATATAATATAATATAATATAATATAATAATATAATATATATATATGGTATTTTGATATGGATTATACATGGATGAACAAGTGCCAGTTTGATTAGCAAACCTCTCATTTCTCACATGATTTTCCATAGCTGCCATAGCAGCCAGTTTGCCAGTTAGATGAATGGAACATCCCCCAGTTAGATCAATGGGATGAACTATGGGAAATATAGGGGTTACCCTCTGGTAAACGTTTACGTAACTATGGAAAGATCCACCATGCATTTTTAATGGGTCAATCCACTATTTCGACTGGGCCATTTTCAATAGCTATGTTAAATTACCAGATGGTAAATTGAGGGGAACCCTATTTTCAGACACACCTGTTTTGGCACCGCAGGGACTAGGACCCCTGTTTACCAGAGGGTTACGGTGATTATAAACACCATGGATCCGATTTTTAGGTGCTTCGCACATCGATTCGTCGTGATTCGTCATCGGTGCTACAAGGGTCGGTTCCTCGCGGTTCAGGAACTCGAGAAAAACCACCTTGTAGCTGTGAATGTCTGGTCAATCCATACTATCAACTTAGGTTTATCATGAATCATGAGTCAATCCATTTGATGAATAACATCAATAACACCCTGGTTGATTGATGCCTTCTCCTTAACATCGAATGCTCCCAAATGAAACAGTGGTTTGCTAATTGAATCTAGAATCTAGTCATTTTGGGGGCCCAAGAAATGGGTTTGTTTTTCAAAAACACTCAAGGGGAATGGGATTATCTGGGATGTTTTCGTCCAGAAATAGTGTATTTTCAGGTGGATCTGGCTTTACCTTGGACCCTTGTAAATGGGTATAGGTCAGACGCCAAGACGGCGTGGTATTCCCTTCATTCTCCACCTAAAGTATGGATACCCTTTGGTAAACTAACATAGCTATGGAAATCACCATGCGTAATGGGTAAATCATAGAACTCATTGGCCATGCTTTCTGGTTCGTAAACTGTCACAAATTACCCATATTTCATTCAGATCCTATTAGTATCCCATTATACCCCTAATACATATACATTTACGATCCTATATGTGTATACAGCAGCCCCCCAAAAGATAGAACTGTTTAAACTCCCAATAAAATACGACTTATGATTTCCGTTTCTATCTTAACTTGGGGGGTTACTATACGATATATCTACGATAGACATAATTACTCAACAAATCTCGAGTGACTTTTAGATGATTTTGGGATTTTGTGTCAAACTTGAGTACCCCAATAATTCGATGGTTACCATCTGGTTATGACTAACATAGCCATGGAAAATCCCAACCATAAATGGAGGTTTCTAGCTGGGAAAATCCATCCTATTTCGATTAGGGCCATGGCTTCCATGGCTATGTTAGTCATAACCAGAGGGTATCATCCCATTAGATCCCATTAAATCACCATTAAACCACCATTAAACCACCATTAAACCACCATTTAAACCAGAGGGTAATACTGAACATAGACTAAAATCTATGCTTCCTTCTGGGGCTTTGGGATGGCTTGACCCATCATTTCTGCATTTCTGGGCCGGAGCGTGGCAGGTCATTCGAAGCTACAACTGACGGAAAGACGACGAAGCATCGATGTGGACCTGGGGTCATAGCTAGGCATGGCGAAAAGCAATGAGAAATGACCCACGGATAGACCGTTGTGGCTTAAGATCAAACCCCGTCAGAAATCGAGAAAGCAGCGGTTTTTTCGGCGTCAAGCTGGGTGGTGGTGGATTTTTTACCAATGAATCAGGTGTGAAGCTCTGTCCCTTTTGGAACACCAAGAATCGAATCATGGGCAAATGATCTCCTGGTTAGCTGTGCATCCCCATTCCAGCCCATGTTTTATGGCATTTTTATGGATGGCTAAATCACCCATTTTCAGGCCCATAATTGCGAGGAAAAGGTGCGAGTGAAACTAAGTGTTTCCAAGATCTAGGGAACAGAACCACTGCAGCTGTGAAGATTTTTGATTGATAACTGCATATGGGATACTTTGTTTTGGTAAGGTTGAGATTGAGCTTATTGCCTCTAAGTCCAGAATGAGCTTGTCTCATACCCAACGGTTCGTGTGAAAGATGTGAACCTGGCGGACAGTGTTCAGCGCTGCGCACCAAAGGTGCTGCGGCATTGTTGAGAATAGCATGAAAAAATAACACGCAGAATCTGGTTAGGGGGGGCTGAAACAATGGCGGGGTTTAACCTCAACAGATTGGGAAATATATGTTGTTGGATCGGACGAGACGCAAAGGGGCGAGATGCTGTACAAGCCAATGCTAGGGACAGAGGCGACAAAGCTAAAGAATATACTGTAATTAGGGGATATATACCCACCTACAGTACAGGAAAGATGTTTCGTTCAGACAGGAGTACAGAGCCTTTCATCCTGCTTGTACCTACTCCGTCAATGATTGTTGTTTTCTATCCATGCAGAGTTATGGTGTTATACCGCAATTTGTTGGTCATATCCACATCTCACTCCAATAAGAACCCACACTTAGCCAGTTCTTGTGTCGGTCAAACTACCATTTGGGTCCTAGTCCTTGCGGTGCCAAAACAGGTGTGTCTGAAAATAGGGTTCCCCTCAATTTACTTCAATTTCTGGCATTTGGATGAGTTAATGATGAAAATCCACGGGTCAAGTGGTCAATGGCCATTTCAAGTAGCCAAACTGGAGGTACAGTTTTATGTGAGTAACGCAATGTGATAAACCAGAGATATTTTGATGGTTTATAGCACCCATAAAAGTGGTGATTTTGGGGATGGTGGATCCTATTGCTAAAAACCATGCTTTACCAACATTACTGTACCATATAAAGCCATAGAAATTGGAGGTAGATCCTCCAGTAATCAAACCTGGCTAGCTGGATATTTCCCCCATTTCAATGGAAGTTTCTAGCTGGGAACATCACTAAATGATGGATTTCTTCCACTTATAGATCGATTATCCCATCTAGAAACCTCTCTAGATGAACCGACCATGGATTTTCCAGCCACGTTTGATGAAACCGCATGGTAAATCCACCCTAATATTCCATGGATCTCCCATTATGTACCTATGATAGGCATATTATACCACTATTTTTCTTAGTTAAATCCCATTTTTGATGGGTAAATCTACCATTTTTCTTAGTTAAATCCCATTTTTGATGGGTACATCTACAATTTTTCTTAGTTAAATCCCATTTTTGATGGGTAAATCCCCTATGATAATCCCTTCACTTGGTCGGAATTTGTCAGCGCCAGGGTTCCCTGGACATCATGGACGCCCTGATCATCGCGCAAGCCAACCCTTTCGTCAAGGCTGGTCGGATTTGCGGCCGGTGTACCCTCTGGTAAACATAGCCATAGCTATTGAAAATGGCCATAGAAATAGTGAAATTTCCCATTAATAGCATGGTGATTTTCCATAGTTATGTAAACGTTTACCACAGGGTAATTCGTTGAGTTTTTTTGGTGGATATATCGATACAGTAGATCTACCCTCTGGTAAACTAACAGTTTGCGAACTTGAAAATCACCATCTTCAAAAACGGTAAATCAAATATAAATGGGCCATTTTCAATAGCTAATTCTGTTAAATTACCAGAGAGTAATATCTATCTATATCTATGTCTATATCCACTATATATATAAATATGCCTATAATGGTTTGGGGTTTACAAACCAACATCCCAAGAATCGAATGTGGTTTGTAACCCATGAATAGCCCCCACGGGTTGCCAGTGAGAAACTGACCTTCAATGGACACTTTGATGCGGTGGTTTTCAGGGTCTATGTTAGTTAGGGATGTGAACTCACTTTAGAGACTGAGAATACTTACCCTCTGGAAAAACTAACAGTTTGAAGCCATGGCCCCATTAGGAATTTCGTTCGTTGATTTACCGTTTTTTAAGATGGTGATTTTCCAGTTCGCAAACTGTTAGTTTACCAGAGGGTAGAATGAATAAGAGCATATAAGAGCTAAATACTTAAATTCCAGGTTCGATGTTGAAGGTGAGCTCAGTATTTTGTGTGTCTGAAAAGGGGCATACCCCCCAATTTATGGTCATTTTAGTAATGATTATGATGAATCATTGGTTTTGGTGCTTACTTCATTACCAAAGTTACTAAAAGTATAAGTAATGATTTTTGGTGCCTCATCTATCATCCATTGAATCATGGATCATTGTTTTGATTATGGTGCATACTTTTAGACATTATGGTCGCAATGGTCGCAATGGTCGCAATGGTCGCAATGGTCCATGGCCAATCTTCCCATTCATCCCATGGCATGGGATGATCAGGAAACCTGGTAGCCTCCAGTAAATTTGCCTGGACAATAACCATCAACAAAATAGGTAAATCATCTATGACTGGCCATGGCCATAGCCATATTAAATGACCACACGGTATATATATATATACACACGTATAATAATTAATAATAATAATTAATAATAATAATAATATATATATATACAATACTATATATAATTAAATATATATATATACACATGTATGTATGTGGTTAAATTACCTCACTGGAATGGTGGTTAGTGGGGACAACTATCACAAAATAGCCGAACTTTGCAGATTAGTGAATTACTATAAATTATCCAGATGTGATTAACCATTACTATTGGTTAATTACTATATTAGAATTCCTATGATTTATCCAGATGGTGAGTCATCATCAATTAGCATATAACCATTAACAACGGATGATGCTAATTGATCCAGATGATTATCAAATAGCGTCTTAACAATGGTCTCGCGTCCAAACAGTGAAATATTTCTGCAAAGAATCATTTGTCTCCAAAACACACACTCATACATTTAACAATTATACATGTCATATATGTATCTATCTATCTATCTGTCTATCCATCTATCTTATCTTATTTTATCTTATCCAATCTAATCCTATCATCCATCCATCTATCCATCCATCCATCTATCCATCGATCTATCGATTTACAGTATCCATCTATTGATCTATGGATCTATCGACCTATCTTTGGGTCTATGGATCTATCTATAATCTATAAATCCTACTACTAATAATAATAGTAATAATAATAATAGTAATTATATATATATAATCTATCCAGATCCAGTGAACAGTCAATCAGTCAGTGGATACATAGCCATAGCATCCCCAGGATGACAAGTCCCGGACGGTGATGGACGTGGCACTGGCAACCAACGATGAGGCCCACGACCAGCAAAAAGGTGATTGAAATCAGAAAGAATGGGGACTCAAACCATGAAAACCATGAAAAATGGGGACTCAACCATGAACACCATGAAAAATGGGGATTCAAACCATGAAAAAATCATGAAAGATGAGAAACGGGGCGATTGGAAGTGGGAAAAACCGATCAAACATGGTGGTTCAGTTGCAGAAGATGAGGGTTTAACCATCACAAATGGCAAAGACTAGGGAGCAAAAACTCGGCCTTTGGCAGAAAAAACTTGTGAAACATCATGGTGAAAGATTGTGTTTTAGTGGACGAAACCCGGATTAAACCATTTCAATTCATTTTCCTGGAGGTGATGCTGCGATACTTTGTCTTGTTAGCGTTACCCTCTGGTAAACTAACATAGCTATGGAAAATCACCATTTTTAATGGGTAAATCCACTATAAATGGCCATTTTCAATAGCTATTTTGACATAACCAGAGGGTACTTTGTCTTGTTAACGCAAATTGTCTTCACCCGTTATATCAAGAGCGACGTCCATGGGTGAAACCGATGAACCCTTGACTTGTCTTTGGTGTCCGAAAGAAATTGTCCAGGTGTTTCCACTCTTCTCCCATTTTCAACATTTTTCACCAGCTTTCCCCAATTTTCTCTCCCGGTTTTCCAGTTTCTCTCACTTTTGTTGATTTTTCCCCTTACATTTCTCGCAAAAGTTCTGCAATTTCCAGGGTAAGTTTCCTCTATTATAAAAGCAATCCCAGAATTGGTTGACGGGAAAATTGTCACTGAAAACTCCGAATGAATTTCATGGTAAAAAGCAGCCAGTTTCCGGTGACGATTTTCCCTTCAAAAAGTCAGGGTAAAAAAACCATCCCAACAGCTGTCACCACACTCAAGTGCGATCTTCATTCAACACAACTGCAGTCATTTTTCCGTCATTTTTCCGTCATTTCCCAAGGTTTCTCCCATCTTCTCCCACTTTTACAGGGGTTTTCTGAGTCAAAAAATCGCCGCACTTCATCACATAGGAGGTGATCGACACCATCCGTGACTTCATTGGCGACCTGCGACGTCAGAAACACCAGCATCTGAAGTCGGGGTGCACGATAGGGTGATGGATGGGGAATGTGAAGCCTATAAGGCATGGGAAGATGTGGGAAGATGTTGGAAGATATGAGCAAGGTATGAGAAAATGTGGGAACTGTGAGAAAATCCATGAACTAAATGGAAGTTTCTAGCTGGAAAATTCACATAATTTATTATTTATTGATCTATAATTAACATTAATTAACTTTGGTTCTTCCATGGAGGTTTGCCGTAACCAGCAAACTATGCAAGGTGAGGCCCCCCTTTTGGATAGCTAAGTTGATGAACACAACTTGGGTGAATTCTATGGTCGATTAGAACGATATAACTATGATAGAATTCACTCACATTCATGATGGTGTTTATTTTATGATATCTATTTCATGGGAGATACATTTCATGATAACACCATGATGGTCTTCATGAAAATTATTGTTGGTGATCCCACGTCGCCAGCTGTTTTTTGCTGTTGAGGTTTGTGCCTTATTAAAGTACCAAAATTGCTAGGTGATGAACATATGAAACATGAAAAAACACATGGGGAGTCAATCATTTTTTTGGCACCGCTATATGTATATATATATAAATAAATAAATATATGTATATAGTTCTTTATTCAGTGAATTTTTAATGGACATTGGTTTGTGAGAAAATGAGGTGTCGACATGGATATACCGTATTAACCCAAAATGGTTGTTTGAATGGGAAACAATATGATAAACTCTATGGATTTTTTGGGTATGGTGTTTTCAGACAGAGCCATCGACTCGAGTGGGTTGTGTCTTTTGTTTTTCATGTCTAAAGTGGTACAAAATGATAGCAACTGATTGAATAATGTTCGATTGGAATTAGATATTTTGCTCGACCCTTAATCAGGCATATTTTATATCTTTGGTAAC